TTCCTGCCAGGGTGAGGTCAGGGTTGGGAGGCAGGGACTGAGCAAGGGCTCACCGGGCCAGCCCGAGTCTCCGGGTGACCCCCCTCCCGGCTTTGCTCTCACAGCCGAGTGCAGCAGTGAGCTGTTCACAGAGCCGTCGGGCTACATCTCCAGCCTGGAGTACCCCCGGCCCTACCCCCCCGACCTACGCTGCAACTACAGCATCCGGGTAGAGCGGGGCCTCACCCTCCAACTCAAGTTCCTGGAGCCTTTCGAAATCGATGACCACGAGCAAGTACACTGTCCCTACGACCAGCTACAGGTGCAGCAGACCTCCCCACCCCCAGACGCCCTGTCTTCTCCTCACATTGCCACGTGGCTCTCTTACCCCTCCTTCCTGCTGGACCCTCTGGCCAACTGGTACAGCAATGGCCAACATCACACATGAGCTGGGCAAGTTCCTACACAGCTGGCAGCTGGGTACTGGGGATCCCTTTTATCCTCCAGCTGAAAACATACAGGAAGCAGGATCCCCACCACCAGCACCACCGCCCCGGCCCTGGGGAAAAGTCTCTGAACTGGAGAGGTGACCCTCCCTCCTCCCCCATCAGATCTATGCCAACGGGAGGAACATTGGTGAGTTCTGTGGGAAGCAAAGGCCAGAGCCCATTGACACCAGCAGCAACTCCGTGGACCTGCTGTTCTTCACGGACGAGTCGGGGGACAGCCAGGGCTGGAAGGTGCACTACACCAGCAGAAGTAAGGCTGCCCGGGGCCCCTCGCTGGCCAGCAAGGGGGCAGGATGCAGTGGGTAGAAAGAAGGCCAGTGGCTCTGCAAGAAATACGCCCTCTGCTTTCCCTGACAGTCATCAAGTGCCCGCAGCCCAAGACCCTCGACTCGTTCACCATCATCCAGGACCTGCAGCCTCAGTACGAGTTCCGGGACTACTTAATCGCCACCTGCAAACCAGGCTACCAGCTCACGGAGGTGAGAGCCACAGCCGAGGGGCATGGACTGGCCCACCGGCCCCTGCCGTCTGCTCACCTACGACAGCACTTAGCATCCTCAAGCACCCTGGAAAGTGGCTGGGCTGGGCTAGTATTTTAGGAAAGGCCCTTGCCCTTAAGAAGACTGCAGTCTAGGGGCGATGAGGTGATGAAAGGTGTTCCAGAGGACGAGAAACATGCTTCCACTTCAGGGCAGAAACTTTTGTTTCAATGCAGAGAACACACAACTGGGTTTGTTGTTTTTTTAATTTAAAATTGTGGGGTTCAATTGGACCTCAGTGGAGACAGGCGAGAATCCAGAGAGAGGACTATTGGGTCTCACAACTAGCCCCAGGCCTGACTTCCTGCTGTGTGGCTCATGTGCGCCCGTGTGTGTCTGGTCTGAAAGGACTGGCGAGGAAGAATGACCAAGGAGCCACGTCCATGGGTGCTAAGGTTTGAGGGCTTGAGAGATGACTTTGCATCCCTACTGCTCCCGGGTGGGCGAGGACAGGAAGGGAGCTGCGGCACCTCCTTGTACTAACAGCACCTCTATCTCTGATCAAACAGGGGAAACAGGCGCTCCTGTCCTTCACAGCTGTCTGCCAGGATGATGGCACATGGCATCGCGCCATGCCCAGGTGCAAGAGTAAGTTGCAACTCAGGGATGTGTCTCTCCCCCGAGGACAAGGGAAGAGGGGTCTGGCCTAAGCATCTCCCCAAAAAGACCCTCCCCTGACTTATCCTTTGAAGCCTCTGGCCCATCCAGGAACCAGTCAGCCCTCATCTCAGCAGGACTGACAGGCTGTACCCAGGGCCGAATTTCGTTGTATCCAGTTCCCGTACATCACGAGAGCCCCCCACTCACCATAGTTCCCGAAGGTTCTCAGCGTGTTCTGTGGGTCCACTCCTGCTCTGTGGGCAGACTGCTCACCTTCCTCCCACTGAAGTTCCGGTACAATCCTTCCCAGCTCTCAGACAGCCCTGTGTTCTCTCCAAGTCAAGGACTGCGGGCAGCCCCGAAGCTTGCCTAATGGAGCCTTCAATTATACCACCACAAGGGGGGTGAACACCTACCAGGCCCGTATCCAGTACTACTGCCACGAGCCGTATTACAAAATGCAAACCAGGGACGGCAGAAGCAAGTCTGAGCGAGGTAGGGACCCATGCAAATGGCAGTCTTCTCCCTCTTGTTGGGACATCTGCAATTTCTTCCAATAGAATCCCTACAGAGTGAATATTAAGATATTTATCCAGGGCACTGGCTTCAGAGGTACCAAGAGGCATCTAATAAAGCTGAAGGAGGAAACACCTGAGCTGATACAAAGAAAGACTTGAATCTCATAAACAGCTTCTTCTCACCACCATCACCACCATCACCACCACCATCACCACCACCACCACCACCACCACTACCATCACCACCACCACCACCACCACCACCATCACCACCACCATCACCACTACCATCACCACCACCACCACCACCAGCATCATCACCATCACCACCACCACCACCCCCACCATCACCACCATCACCACCACCACCACCATCACCACCACCATCACCACTACCATCACCACCACCACCACCACCAGCATCATCACCATCACCACCACCACCACCCCCACCATCACCACCATCACCACCACCACCACCATCACCACTACCGCCATCACCATCACCACCACTACTGCCACCACCACCACCACCATCACCATCACTACCACCATCACCACCACCATCACCACCACCATCACCACCGCCACCATCACTACCACCATCAGCATCACCACCACCATCACCACCACCACCACCACTACAGCTTTATCAGTGAGACTTCTTCAGCCTTCTCTCCACATACCCTCTCAGGCTGCTATGTTGTGAATTTCTGCATTTAGGTTTACTAAATTACTCTCAAGTTCATCTATGGGTATCTTTAAAACTTTTTTTTTTTTTTTTTTTTTTTTTTT